TTTATTAATGCATAGTGGTATTTTTTAAAAATGTGTATATACATATTATACTATATATTAAGTATTTTCGTTATGTTTATATCAATGGAAGTCTAACTGACGAAAATATGAATTTGCGATCATGTTGGCTCTGTGTGCACCGTGTTTATGTTAATTTAAACATTAATTTTCAGGATTGGCTTAACACCGAACAGCAACGTATGGGTGGGAGCATGGTGGATAGGCTTCCTAGCTGCAGCAGTCATATGTTTCGCCATTGCAATACCAATTTTGGCATTCCCAGCAGCATTACCTGGTACTCGACATGTACATTTTAAAAATATACATTTACCAGAAAAAAGCTAAAAAAGCTAAAAAGCTAAAAACAGCTGAAAAAAGCTGAGAAAGCTAAAAAAAAGCTTTAAAAAAGGCTAAACTCGTCACAATTATTGCTATACTTCCTTACTCATAGCTGTCAATTTCCCTATTACGTCACGTTTTCAAAATCCGAGTCATCAGTCCCGTTTACACCTTCCTGGTCCACATCGTGCCCACTCAAAAGCAACCCAAAGGCGTTTGCAGGGTTGCGTAGAAATCAAGCCATCAAGAGTAAACGTCTCTCTCCGCAGGTTCAGAGGAACTGGCCAAAGAGAGGGTATCAGAGGCACACCAGAAGCCGAAGCAATCGTCCTCGAGCGAGCGGGGTGAGGCGTTCTCGAAAATACGCGAGCTACCCCGTGCTCTGACCGATCTGCTCGGTAATCCGGGCTTTTTCATGTTGAATCTGGCAGGTGCCAGTGAAGGATTGCTTATCGCCGGCTTCGCTGCGTTCCTGCCGAAGCTGATCGAAAATCAATTCAACGTCAGCGCTAGCTCCGCCGCGTTACTAATGGGTGAATAATATTCAAGCATTCTGTTGTAATCAATCAAAAAAAGTCCGTGTACCTCTCCATCGATGCTAACGAGTAATCGTCGACATTTTTCCCCAAATACCGAAACATTTTTTACCCCCCCTCCTCGAGCGAGCCTCTTTTTGTTGCCCCCTTTTACCCGGCGTAAAATATCGACTGAACGATATGTTACCGTCAGGTATCCGCGCGTGTGTCGCGGCCATTAATCATCCTCGACGTTTTTATATTTCCAGATCCTACAGTTATTTACGATTGACTAATGCCCGCGTGTAATTTCCTCGAAATTTCCCAAAGCAACGAGAGCACCTGACTCGTACGCAACTGGTACTCGAACGGGATGGGGGCCCCCTTTTATCTCTCTTTTCAGCCTTTCATCCTCTTTTTCCCTGGGTTTTTAGGTCTGGTCACCGTCCCTGCAGGCGGTGGCGGTACCTTCCTCGGTGGTTATCTCATAAAGCGTTTTAATTTGCCATGCTCCGGCATTTTAAAGTTCTGCTTGCTGGCCACAGCCTCCTGTATCGCCTTCACTCTCTGCTTCGTACTCAATTGCCCGAATCTGAACTTCGCCGGTGTCACCGTGCCCTATTCGGATCAAGCCAAGTACGTGAACGTTGTTTTTATACTATGTGTGTATGTGTGTGTGAATATTGTTTACTTGCCCAAGTGTGAAAATAATTTTTAGTAGCGAAATATAAGTCCATCGGAGACTTTATTTTTATACCTTCTTGGTCTGGGGGATTAAATTTTGGGGGCTGAAAATTAAATAATTTTTTATTAGTTTGGATATTTATTTTGTGCCTTGTATTTTGGTGGTACTTACGTATTCGATGGTCCAATTATGATTTTGATAAAATTTGTAAGAGAAAATTTGGTATTATGGAAGATGGTTAGGTTAGGATGAACGTTTGTTTCATTTCCAGGAAGTCTTTTTCGTTGGACAGCACATGCAACAATGGCTGCGGCTGCTCAAGATCAGAGTTCAGTCCAATATGCGGCGTTGATGGGATCACGTACTATTCCCCATGTCATGCAGGATGTTATCAAGAAACGCGGATAAATAACGTCGAAGTCAGTATGATTCCTTATCGCACTCGATATGTCAACTTGTGAATGTCTATTCTGCTTCTTCCAAGCTTGGGTACTTAACCTATAATATTCTTAATATAGTGCACTCCATAAAAATGTAGGCTGATTGCAGAGTGCAAATAGATATAATAAAATACACAAGTTGTATAATTTGTTGAATTTTTAGGGTATTTCAAAATTCCAGGCTTGGTGCTCTAACTGCATTATTTTCTGTGTTTAAACATTTCTTCTACTTCCATTTTTATCCCTAAAAAAGAAAAATTAATATTTGATAATAATATAAATTTCAATTTTTATATTATTATAACCTTAAGAAATTATTACTCTCCATTAATTTTCGCCAATTTTTAGCAAATAAAATATTCAAGTTACATAATTTGTTGAATTTCTAGGGAATTTTAAATTTCCAGATTTGGTGCTCCACTTACATTATTTTCAGTGTTTAAATATTTCTTCTACTCCTATTTATATCCCTAAAAAAGAAAAATTAATATTTGATAATAATATACATTTCAATTTTTGAATTATTATAACTTTAAGAAATTATTGTTCTTCATTAATTTTCGTCATTTTGTATTTCGTAGGTGTATTCAGACTGTCCTTGTATACGTGCGCCATCGATGAATCTGACCGCCGGTGACGGAGTGATCAGTTACGAGGCAATAAATACGACCTGCAATACGTCATGCTCTTATCTGTGGCCGTTCATCGTTCTAGCATTTTGCAATATGTTCTTGACATTTCTTTGCACGATGCCTGCACTTTCCGCGACGCTTCGTGTCGTTCGAGATGATCAGAGGTCATTTGCATTGGGTATACAATGGATCAAGGTTAGAATTCTGGGCACAATACCAGCGCCAATGGTGTTCGGTGCTCTCATAGACGACACTTGCATCTTGTGGAACGAAACCTGTGACGGTGGAGGATCTTGCCTTGTTTACGATAATTTATACATGAGCAGGTATATATATATAAAGCAATATATGATAACCAAAGTAAAAATAAATGTACGCAGGCTTGTCAATGTAAAATTACAATAACGGAATCATAGCCTCGTTTCAAATACAAATATTTCATTCGATATGTAAGATTGTAAAACACTTATCTTGCTTCAGGTACATGCTGGCATTAGCTTTTATCGGCAAAGCAGCGTCCCTCCTTTTCTTTTTCCTCGCTTGGTGGACGTACATTCCGCCAGGGAGCAGAAGAGTCACTCAAAATTCGCGGGAAGAACCCACGACGACATTAATGTTGAACGATACACAGCACGAGACACCAATTACACCAGCAACGATAAATCCTATAATTGATCCGTAAATCCCTCATTCTGGTTATTATAGGAATATGCGAATAGTGTACACTTAATAATTACTTTTCAATACCAAGCAACAAACCAAATCGAAGGGACAAGTTTCTAAGTAAGTTCTTCAACAAGTAGATGGCACTGCTGCTAGTCAGCTTCATCAAGTGTCGATCATACGACATTTACCATCTTCGTCTGAATAGGTACTTTTCTACTGAAGGTGTATTAAAAATATTTCGGCACATAGTTGGATATATTCAATAACCTTGTTTATACCTTATTGTAGAGTAACTAGAGAGGAACATAATGTAAATTAAATAGATGGATATTTATTTAATATTTTTATTCTTTAATATAAGCGGTTCGTAATTACAGGAAGAAACTATTTCATTCCTAGGGTAATTTTTAAAGGATTTATAAAATGCGCAGTTATTTATTATCATCGTAGTGTCAGTGCAGAAGGAATTTTGCACGTGAGTTACGCCACGTACATGAATGTGACTATGTAGTGAACCAAACTGTGAAACCAATGAAACTCGAATGAGACTATTTATTTCGAGAGTTGTTTAAAACTGTACAAATATATTTATACGATTTGCAATAAGTAGGATATTTCGCGTAAGAGCTGTTCACTGCCAGAATTATTGTAAAGAACGTAAAATTGTTTTTAATATCGTATCAAAAATATATCCTGTTTTGAATGAGAGAACTATGAGTACCAATTATGAGATATAATGGGCAAGTGCACTTGTAGTCCTTTTCGATGTTTATTATGTACTACTTTCTAACTCGGAGTAGTTCATTTATAATGTTCTAATTTTAATACTTATAAGTATAAATACCGATAAACGTTTGCTTAATATATCACTACGCTTTCTGTATTGTTCTATAGAAATTAATAGTTACAATTAAGTACTGGATCAAAGAAGGCTATCAAAGTTGTCTAGAATTATACAATTGTATTGTTCTCTATTATCTAATATGAATGTGATTTCGACTTGTGTAACATCCTTTAACTGTAACCCTAGTATTTACCGATCGTCAATTAAACTCGAGGGACTCGAGGAGGTATTTACCACAAATGATAACAGTCGATGTTTAAGGTAAAGAAATTATTCTACATTTTCATCCGATTTATGCAATATAATTGTTACTGCGACCAGCTAAACTATTGTATCACAGAAATGCCTCTGGAAGACATTGTTTTTCATAGAATTGATACCATATTTGTATGATGTTATTGCTTGTATAAATGACGTAATGTCTAAAGAAAATGGAACAACCTCTATTGTGAATTGATATTCGTAATAGTATATATACGATTATAGGTATAGTTACAAGTTCTGGTATCAACCTTAGCATATCCCTTTGACACGTTGAATAAAAATGATATACCACTTTGGAATTTTATATATCAAGATTTTATATGTCATCTGTAATAGAATGTTTTTCAGACTTAACGCATAAGATAAGATGTGAAAACGAAAGCATTGTGTTATTTTAATATTAACTAATTAATATTAAAGATTTATCGAAAATGTCACCATTTACATAAAAATTGCAAATGGTGAATCGTACAAATTTTATTGTTCGATTATAAGAAAGTTTTGAAATTTTCGAGCGTTGAAGGATAATAATATTTCTTATTGAACATTTTTCGTAAGTATAATACATTGATGGTAATAAAAATACCTGTAACACACAAGTAATTAAATACAAAAAAGAAAAACAGGAGCGTATCGTAAATCGTCATTTATATCAGTTTGATATGAAAGATTTTGTGCGATTTCTAATTGTAATTATTTTTGTTATGACAAATTAATGTGTCTAACACGTGTATTATACGTGTCACCAATAAAGAGCTAGTAAAATGCGTTAACCATTCTGGCTTCCTTTATCCTTTTCGTGGGTTATGAAATTATTCTAAGATCGATAATAATATTTATGTCGTAGACCTTGTTCACGTACTTAAAGTATAAGCAATCACTTTTAGAACTACTCACGTGTTTCTGTAATCTTATTCTCAGATAAAAACAACTGCATTGCACTTTACGTAATGTTGACGTGGAATAAGTTTTAATACCATATTTTTTATCATATGTCAAGAACGATACCTTTAACTTAATTTTCCTATTAAAGTTAGCAGGTTTAACCTATAGAGATTCATGCGAATAAACACAATAAGCAATAATGCAGTTACTTAAATAACCATCTTTAAATATGAACGCAATCGTATTTATCGACTGAGATAATTGAGGTTAATATTTTTCAACTTTTATATTTTTTAGATATAAATTATATTTCTCAATTATATGTAGCACGAAAATTGTTGTTTCTATAATGACAGTAGTAATCTAGATAAATTGATACTTATTACAATAAATATAAGATTATTACGTTGTATTAAAGGTTTTAGTATATCATTTGATAGATTTATCTGTGATGCATTATAACATTATATACACAGAATTGCAGTATACATATTATGTTTGTGTACAACAATTACAAATATATATCTATTTATGGATATAGATATGCGCATATATATATAGTTACTGTCGTTAATCAGATCTATTATTAAAAGACTTAATATCTGGCCTCTTGGTCTAGGGGTATGATTCCTGCTTTGGGTGCAGGAGGTCCCGGGTTCAAATCCCGGAGGGGCCCATATTTTTTTATAGATTCATTGATAGTTTTATTTAGGTAATGTTAATCTGTATATCAACTATTTTTAAATACTCTTAAATGGTATTTAAACATCTGGAATTAATATTTATTACTTTATTTTATTCAAATTTAATAAATAAGATCATAATATAAGTAGATGTATTTTATGGTCATGACAAAGTATCATTTGTATTGTAAGTAAATAGCGTAAATAACTACTGACATTTATTTTCTATGGATCATTGAGGGTACAAAGAAGTTTATAAATATTAATAATATTAAACATATTTATATATACAGGCGAGAAGTGTTACGGAATTATAAATGAATGTGTATACACATTTGTGGATATATATAAATTTCTTTACAATATTATCACTTATGTTAAACTTTTCATAACAGATATCTATAAAATAAATACTTTATTATAATATAACACAATATTTTCTTTCTTTTATACAGAAAAAATTAATTATTACTGTCATAATTTTAAAGGTATTCAATATTATAATCTTATTTTAAGTCATAAATTTCTGAAGAATGTATGTGAATAAGTTTTCTAAATAAATTACATTTTCCATCAGAAGTATGAAAAATATATATATTTTTTCTCAATAATACAAATTATATTCGAATAAGAAATATATTGAATGTAATTTATTTTACTACATGTCATTTTAATTAAATTAAGTAATTAATAAGAGTATCATTAGCTTGTACGAACTCAGCAGACTCAAATTAACAGTTTTAAATTGCGCGCGATATATTTTCCTACTCCCGAGAAAGTCAAGATGGCGGGGAGCCCAGTGCGCATGCTCGAGTTCCTCAATGGTCGGGCAAAAACACAGCTGGTCTATGATCTCCGAAGCAAGCTGACGGTCGAACGCTATCAATGTGATTTTCGTAAAATTCTTTCCGATCTACCGGTCAGATCGTGAGGTCAAGGCAGGCGTGCGCGAAATTTCGTTCAGTGCTCGGTTCGTAGTGTTAGTGAGTGCGTTTAGATGTATGCAAAACTCGTTAATCGCGGTGTCACCACGAGGATTTTTCACTGCCCTGGATACAAAGGAGTTTCGTGAGGTGCTTCGAGCGTCCTTTCGGTAAGTTTACGACAACTTCTACTTGAGAATTCGTCGCATCGTGATCTCCTTTATCGCGTGTACCACGAAATTTTCAATCAATTCCCAGAGCCAAGTGACCTTTTTCGATCTACCGAAAGGGTCTACATCGCGTGTCTAGAAAATTTTCTGTGATTCTCCCTCCTCAGACTATCAATCTGTATCAAAACTCGAACAAAAAGACACGAAATCTACCGCATGCTTCGCCGAATGGATTATCAAAGTAATCCATATACTCGATACGGTATTTTAAATTGAGAAAACTTCGTGGATATTGCATACAGCATCTTTAGAAATAGGTCAGAACAAAGTTTTCGTAATCTCGTCGTCCGGACAGGTATCGCCTGTTGAGAAAGGGATTTTTATCTTTTATCTTGCGTTATCTTTCGTTGCTCCCTTTGCATACGGGACCCTTGAAAGTGAACTACCTTTATCTCACACGCTCGCCGAATGATCACAGCTCACCTTTCCGTTTTTGCCTTCGTTACATATCATGTGCGTGTGTGCGTGTACGATTGTGGCTGTTTACCATTAGTAGACGGAAAATTTTCGTCGTTCGTGTGTGATTTCGAACAGACGACTGATGCAGAAAGATACATCTTAAAATTTTAATCTGCTGCTCGTCGCACGGACAGTGTCGCCGACGTCCGTGTACGCTGGTGTTTATGTGCAAACACAGCTGTGCCATAATTCCATGGATAACGTTATCGTGCTACCGTAGTATCTATATATCGAGGTCTTGAACCTCGGCGTCTGTAGAACTATTTTTATATCCGCGCTGTGCTCTGTCACCGCGCGCGGCATCGGGTGAGAGAGGAATCCGGCTGTTGTCGAGCGGTACACGGCCGTGCTGCAGTCCTTAGGACTCTGACCTTGTCCTATGCAAAACGATACCTTCCGTTCATCGTGTTTTTAATCGGCGTAGCAATTAACGGACAACTTGGCGTTGCGGCTTAATTACTTATTCCGCAACGACCAGTAGCGGGCCGGTTAATCGGTCTCTCGACCATTGTTGAAAACACGGAAAAATTTTGTCGTCCCTCTCTTTCACCTTCTTCGTCTCTCTCCTTTCTTGTTTATCTCTGTCTCTTTCGAGCTTATTGTTTCTCACGGTATCGATGCCATTATCGTTGAACTTCAGACGTTTACTTTCGATCTCCAGTTTTTCAGCATCGATCGGTGCATACACCTATTATACAGTGCGGCAGAACGGCTCGACTACCGATATTCGTATACAGGGTGTTTCAAAACGAGCGTCAGAAATTTTCATTCCTCCCAATTATGTTCGAATCTGACGCGTCAGGACGTCCTTTGTTGCATTTACATACGTGAATATTTATTATAAAATACTCCTATTTATAACATCGATATTTATGCGATTTTTTTTTAACATTTTTGGAATTATAATGAAATTAATGTATTAGAAATTTTATCATAGAAAATACCCAAACTTTTAATTTTTTAATTTTTTTAATTTTAATTTTAATTCAAATATTATATTTACAAATTAATAAGTACTTATAAATAATATGGAATTAATTAATAATTAGGTATTCATTTCAATATTATATATTTTCTTTATTCATAGTAATTCAATGCAGGTACTGATATATATCGGTATTGTATACTGCATAATAAATAATGATAACTGGACCTGATCTAAAGAACAATTTATTAAAATTGCGTCATACTTCTTTCCGAGCCACCCCGTATAACGACCCGCGAATCAGAAGGCACAAAGGAGCGAAGGCAGCATATGATCGCCGATACTAGAAACAAAGGGCGGCGCGTTCTTTTCCAGACGTTAATTTCGACCCGCCAGCTGTTACCATTCGATACGCGACTCTCGTATCGATAATTAACCGGCCGTTAAAAATGTGTACTCGTTCACGGTACAAGGTTGAGGTGTCAGGTTTCATCGTATGCGTGTCTCGCTCGATTTTAGTCCTGTTTCTTCTCAAATTTTCTCCACGAAATTTCAGCGTATAAATTCATCCACGATAGTACATAATGTATCTTGCGTCACGTCTGGCGAAAAGAACCGTTGTCACTGTTCCTTCGTTCCAGTCGGCGACGAGTAGGTGTCACCTCGTGAACAATTTTATTGACCAACCGAACGCACCGTGGTCGCGAAGTTAGGCCAGAGACCCCGTAAAAACTACTGTCTTCACGCGACGGACTACTTATCCTACTGGAAACGATATCTCACTCGGGAAGTTCGCTGAAAGCGGAAGGAAGAGGGCGCTCGTGAAACGAGTGCGTTACGCTGGGAGCGAAAGCGGAGAAACTTTTCGATCTTCGTGGAAAGAAAAATCGCGGTACAAATTACACATTTGACGTTCCGCTATGCATTCGGTGCAAGTAAGCCTGATATAAATTCCCCTTTCTGTATTTTTTTTTTTTTACCAAGTATCCTTGAGCCTACGAGGGTCAGACATTTCGTGCAAAAATTTACCGGCCACGCGAGGACCTCTACCGGTCCGACGCAACCGGACAAATTTACTAGTGACCTCTATAAATTCCACGGTGTTCGTGCATCGCGGGGAGATGTCGCTTCGACTCGCGCGATTTAGTAATCGGGCGGCCGAAAGTTTTGACCTGTGGACATATTGAAATCGAAAGTCACGTAGCCACGCGTGTTTCGGGAGCCGGGTCTCTTCGTTAATCACACTTACGTTTCTCCTTATCGATTATGTAATGCTCCTTTCGTGCTCGTATCTTTCCTGTGCAGTATCTTCGAAATAGCGTGGAAGAAATGACCAAATTAATTCAAGCGCGCTCTGGCCAGCATCAAGCGAGCTCGCTACAAATGTCGCCATTGCTTGTCATTGTAACGCGATGACTTTCACGATGGTCCGTTATACTTGAGAAAATCCAACATCGTTGTTCGTTTTTCACGTTGAATGTTATATGGAAGAACGGATTTATCACTTTTTCAGGTACAATAATAAATTGTTTTTCATTAATAATATTAATAATTTTATTCTTAGCTGATATATAATGTTTCGAATTTTTTAATTTTATTTTTTTAATTATTTAATAGATTTTATTAATTATGGGGTTATTTCTATTCATTGTTTTCGGTGTGTCGAATATTTAAAATGGTTTTGTTGCTGTAATAATATCGATGCATCTGCAAATGCGACATTTTTTAGTCTCTTGGCGCGAATGCTTTGCAATTGGAAATTTACAATGAGAAAAGAATGTAGGACAGTAAATCAAGGCGTAACCTACTTTTTCGATTATACGATTTAAACTATTTGCCGTGCATATAAATGATGTACACGTGTGATCATGTTGTTAATCACGTGTTTATTCGGAAATTGATTAGGTTTGTATTTTAGAAATCGTGTTTAGTCAATTCCAACATTAATTATTAACATTAACGATATTTATATCTAGTTTATTTATTGGTACTGACTATGATGAAATTTTAATACACCTGATTTCTTAAATTTATAATCAAATTATCCCTACATTGAAAAATGATACTGGATTTTTAAAAATAATTTATAATCGTTTTCACAAGTTTTCTTTTGTAATGTTTTTCAGTGTAATTAGTATATGTTTTAGCACATACTTTGCATAAGTGAATGTTACATTCTATCATATAAACAATTCTTTAACATTAACTTCTGTTAAGCGATAATTAATTAGTACTCATTTTTCGTGGATATTTATGAGTCCCGGGTTTTAGTACTACCAGTCTGGCCCGTTGTATTGTCTTTTTATCGCGTTTTTTATTGGCTGTGCGCGCACCTAGTAAAGATTGAATTTCTGTATACCGGGTGTGCGAAAAATAAGCATCTTACACGGAAAATCCATATCAGAATTTTTTAGTCCAATATTTTTGGAAATCTGTATACAATTTTGTCATTTTTTAAATTATCAGTGATTGTATTTTAAAATATCACACTGTATATCTAAAAAATTGCGGAAGTACGAAAAATAATACAAGTAACTCTAAATAATTTAAAAGGGTGACATAATGTACTATACTACAAATTTGTAAATTTTTTGCATGAATTATGTACTTTATTTTAAAAATTAATTCATATATCGCCTTTTTAAAATATGTTTCTTACGTCAAACACATTAATATGACATGAACTTGATAATTTTAATCAGTTGCCATTAATGTGTAATATAATTAAACAGACAAAAGTTATTATTTTAAAAAAGGAAAGGTATAGATTGTAATTTATAATTTTTAAATTAACTCAATTTCTTCTTTATTATTATTATTATTTTTATTTGAATATATATTATTTAGCAAATTTTGTATTATCGCTAAAACATGAAAATTCGAAAATTGTAAAATAGCGAGTTAAAAAAAGAAAATAGAATTTCTGTATTTACATACTATTTGCGTGTTTTCAATAGTGCTATTAAAAGCTCCCGTTGGCGAGTGCTATTGCCTTGAAAAAGCGAAACTTTATCAACGTCAAAAAATAATTCTCACTTTGTGATCACTGATTCCCAGTTTTCTACAAACTTTGTATGGTTACAGTGTGTGCGCGCGCATGTGTGTAGAATAAACAAATTAACCAATGTATCACGATGATAACGGTACAAATATGACCTGGTTGCGATTCAGAAATAGCGAAAAATTGGCCTCGTTTTCCACTCGCAAAATCGAGAATAGTAAATTGTCATTGAATATCGATTTATTGGCAGTGCACAAACGGCAATGAGAGTAACAAGATTCGATACCGAGTATCCTTCTACAGACTGAATTAATGTACTCTACCGTTTTTACCAAAATTGGCATTGCATTCCAACCTTCACGATTTCCGTTCCATTCATCCCGCAAATAGGAAAACGGCAAAATTCGATTTTCTTATACACCTTTCAACTTAAATTCAGGTGAAGTTTCACAAATAAATTTGATATTTAGAATTTGAGATTTCAGAACTTTGAAATTTGGGATTTGGGCTATTCGAATTTTCAAAATTTCGAATATAGAATTATTAGAATCCGAA